GCCAGTATTTCAAAAATGCAGCAAATAGAAAAGGACATAATCTTCTGTACCAGTAAAGATGGGTCTTTATCAGGCACTTGCCCTTGCTAGGAGTGGTTCAGATTAGACATTAGGAAAAAAAGGTCATCAGTGAAAGAGTGGAAAGGCATTGGAATAAACTGCCCAGGCAAGCATCTGGATGTGGCACTTGGTTTAGGGATTATTATGATGGTGCTGGATTGACTGTTGGACTAAATGATCTTGAAGTTCTCTTCCAACTTTGATGATTCCGTGATTAAAGGAAAAGATGGTGGGTCAGAGGAAGACACTTGTTTCAAGACAGTTAAGGAAAATTAAAATTTAATTAAGTGCTTTTTGAAAGCCCATGGAATCTAATGTGTAAGCAGATTGTTCCAGGACTTTAAGATAATCTATTTATTTTAGAAACTTACTTTCTTAGTGCTTGAGCTGTTTTTTGGAAGAAGTAGGTGGTAAATATACAGGTTAAGTCACTTATCCACTTTCCAAACCTTTATATACTCCAAGTTTTTTGCTGAAAAGGATTTCATGTCATGCTGCATAACATTCTTTTGCTTTCTTGGGAATCACAGCCTATGACAGTCTCCATGATCTTAGCTAGTATAATATTGAAGTCTACCACACTTGTTTCAACTGCTCCTCACTCATAATGAAATCTGCCTAGAATTCTGGCCATTAAAGGCTTGGAAACTTTCTTCAAATTTTTAACTCATGATAATTCACTCTTCCTCTATTCACATTTCTTCTCACAATACCTTTTCTCAGCTCAAATACCTATTTTTCATGGTTCAGCACCAAAATTTGATCTCATAGACAGTGATCTTATTATATCTCCGTTTGTTTTTTTGTCCTTTTCAAAGTCATGTTCCCAGTAACCTTGGCCATTCTAGGAGACTTTCCAGTGTCTTAGACTATGGGAATGCAACTTTTGAGTATAGTTGGTCAGATTAATTTTCATATTGGCCTATATTCCAATATTAATATTTATTTCCTTGTATGTAATATTCATTCTACAGTCATATTTGCACCAGTGTTTTTCATAGCCAGATTATGTATGGCTCATAGGCAACTTCTCTCTGACTAAACGCATGGATATTTATCCTTTTGTCACCTGCAACTGATGATCTCAGCATTTACAAACAAAATTCTTACCATTTGATTCTAAGTACGTGTCTGTAGTATGGGGCATTGGATTTGTCCTCATTTCTATTACTTAGAATAAATAATTCAAATTTTCCCTACATAGGAATCATTCCTACTTTTTAATCTTCCAAAACCAATGTCCTGTTAAACATCATTAGTGCACTACTACATTTTGTACCAAAATCATTAAGGAGACTATTAATGCTCAATCCTAAAACCCCATCAGCATCCTGTGCAGATAAAGGAGAAAAATAGTCCCTCTTCGCAGGCAATTCAGAGCAGAAACCTATCTCAGTCATCCTGAAACTCTCCTCAGGGAAGCCTTCTTTGGACTATAAAGACACTATAAAAAAATAGAGGAATTTAGTTTTTGGAATACCTCTCTTACTATACCAAGCAAGTGACTAATATATTGAATTTTTTCTATTACTAGTTTTCCTAGTAATTTAGGATGACTGCTCTTAGGCTTGGAACTCAGGGCTTCTATGGCATTACTCACACTGGGATTGTCAGCAAAAATTGAGGATGTGTTTTTGAATCAATACATTTCATGCTGCCTGGAATTACATTTTTCTGTCTCTCCAAAATCTTTCTCATCTGTGCCATCATGTTTTGTGTATTATGATATCCTTCTGAAAACTGATTATCTGAATCAGAGATTCTCCCTAATTTATTCAGAAAAGACAATTTTTTTTCAAGACACAGATTGTAAATGCAATCATAAATCACAATATCAGAGCTCAATAAAAGCATTGAAAGCTCTATTGCAGGACCAAGAACTCTATTTCCATGTAATTAGCAGAAGTTTCTTAGGTGCTGCAAAAAAATAGGTTTATAACTGAAATGAGAAAAAAAGTAGCATGGATATTTTCCAGGCAGCATACATTTATGAAATACATTTTCTCAGGGGTCGCCTCGTAAATTAAACATTAAATTGAACTCAGGTATTTGGTGTTCATGGACAGAAACAGGGAGGAATTAAAACCCTAGACTGCAACTTAGAAAAGGGCAAACTTTCTGAACTATTGCATTTCTTATCACTGTTTGTTTGAACTCTTAACACAGAAATCTTGCAAGCCACAGCACTTAACAGCTTTTGCATACATTACTCAATACAGTATTTCCATAGCCTATTTCAAGGTGATACTCTTTAACTATGCTGTAGGTGTCTAAAACTTCTCTTGTGGCTTGGGCAGAATAAAGGCACTGCAATTTTATCACTAAACAAACAAGTTTAAATCTACAAGTTACAAAAATAAACTCTAGAAGTAAAAAATATCAGAAAATTACATTATTATTATACTTCTCATGTTCCACATATTGCTATCATTAAAATAAATATGTTTGAGTAGTAACAAGACTGTGTGCATAGTACATGTGTTGCCATCCTGATTTTCATTTCCTAGGCCACATAAAATTACTTGTACAGGGAATAAGCATTTCCACTCTGTAAAGAACTACATGGAGAGTAAGTAACATAGACCTAATAAGTAACATACTGCACAAAGGTTAAAGATAAAATGCGACAGAAGGAGTCAAGTTTAATTAAAAGTAATTTAGTGAAGTTAAATGGGCTTCATTAGCCCAGAAAATTTAAATTGCACCCCCAGACAAAGTGCATATACAATAAACATCCTCCAATTAGCAGTGTTCAACATTCAGTCTCTTCCATCTGTATTAACCAAAGAAAATTTAAAGTAAGGATTTTGTTACAAGAAAATAATGGAGTAGGAGGTAATGCAAGCCAAATGAGAAGCAAGACAAGGAAAATCAATTTCTCATCAACTGCAGGGCAAATAACTTTAAACTAAGTCACATAGACTCTAATCAGTACCAAATGGAAACATGGTTCCTTTGCACTACATTGCACCAAATTAATGATAGAGGAGACTTTAACTTTTGTTGGAAAATCTGTGAAATAAGAGGAAAATCTCAAGAAATTTGTAGCTTATCCCTACAAAGAAGTTAGAAGGGGCCTTTGGCATGACACTTGTGGTTAGTGGTATCTAACTATAAGATAGCTAATGACCTGAGCAAATACAGCAACAGCAAAGACTAAGAACAATTTTAAATTCTTTGCATAGAGGCAAAAAACTAATTGTGAGATGTTAGCTCAAAACAGGAAAGGATGTCATTACATTGCAGATGGCCTGAGCAAAGGGACAATGTGACACAAAAGGAACTGTGATGAGATTACAAAATGTATCAGAACTGTTTTGATTTATCTCCTGTCTGTGGAGTTTTAAGAAATAGACAGTATACAATGCTTAAAATAGAGGAATGACAACACATACTTCCAAACTTTTGCTTCTGCTTCTAAGTAGAGCATATATCCACTTTATCCAATGGTTTTATTGCTGAAGGATTTTTATATGCTTAAATTATACTTCCTTAGGCACTGTGATTTGTGTTATGTCTCCAGAAAACTGCTTCTCAAAAATCTAGACATCCCACCCTGACGCTCTCCTTTTTTAGCTACAGCTCCTTCTGTTAGAAACTTCAAAGTAGGTTTAGGTCTTGAGAAGACATCATGTTTATTCAAAGAGCACTTTGCACTGGTGTTCATTTCTTCCTTACCCAAGGTACTGTCATACCACTTTTCCCTTACTCACATTTGGGAAGATTTTCTCAAGAATCTGGGCATTTCAAGCATGTGTCACTTTTGATCTGCTGCTACTCTTGCTGTAGCCACATCCCTGGGATAGAGTTGAAAAACTGTTAAGAAAGAAAGAACAATTTCCTGCTGTAGCTTCTCTATTGGGCATAGCCTCCAGAATTTCAGTACAGGATGGCAACTGTGACCTGTGGCAACTGAGGGGAGACCTCAAGTTGCCCTGTGCCAGTCACAGCCATTTCCAGCCGTCTCTGACATCTGTGCTCGCATCAGCTGTGAATGGTTGAGTCAAGGATACAGAAAAAACATCCCATGTCCTTGTCTCTACATAGAGGAAGTCCAAATGTTTGGCCCAGCTGCCAGCTGAGTTGCACTCAAAAACAATCCCAGTCTGCAAAATCAGACAGTAGCAAATAATCAAGGATGAAATTTCAAATAAGAATAAGCACAGAAGAGTTGATCAAGAATCACTTTCACCTGGATTTTCTATTTGACTGCCCAGCATGCATAAAACCTAATGAAAGCATTCGTTTCAGTGCAGAGTATGAGTATGCAGGTGTTTGAAAATCAATAATTCTCAGGTTTGAACAAATGCTGTGAGCGCTGGAATATCAGCTTAGTGTTACTATGACCCTGAGCAAACTCTTAGCAGAGAAAGAAGAAACCTCAGCGAGACCAGTGTTTTGTTTCCACTGAAAACAGAAGCAATTTTTTTTAACCTCATGTTAGCCATAACAAACCATAAAAATCATAGATGAAATAAATTTTCTCAACATTAGAAAGTGTAAAGTAATCATAAGTCCCTCCTCCTTCACCTGTACTTCCTGTCATCCCTAGGATATTGCCATATCACAACAAGGACAGTTTTATACACAGGTGTGGAGAGGATGCCTTGTAACTTAGTGAATACATCAGGGAAGCTCTAGGCCTTACACAGCCACAGTAGAATTTGGTGAAAAACAGCAGTGAGAAGCCATTAGTGCAGAAGGCTAAACAGGGTACCTTGACCTCTTGAAATAACACACAGACTGCTGCTGACATGAGCAAGAGGCAAGAGCAGGTAACGTAGGTTTCCACTTAGCATGAATTAAGTGATATGAATAAGCACTGTGCTTACTAAAGATCCAATCTCAATGTCTGACTTCAGTTCAGAAATCGAATTACCACTGATTCCTTCCGTTGATTTCCAGTACATGAAGCCTTTTTCCCCTTTTGTTTTAACCAGTGCACAGAAGCCAACACATCTGGGTCCCCAAACAAATGAGTACGCTGATGCCCAGCTTCAAGAGATTGTCAAAAAATTGCGTGAAAGGGCAAATGTCTATAAGGAAAAGCTGAATGACCCAGTGATATCTTCACCTGAAGCAAGTCCTCCAACTTGTAAGTGCCTCTAGAAATAGCTATGCATTTGTTCAGTTTAAAACTGAAAAGAATTTTGTGGTAACAGAAAATACTATGATAATTTTTTGTAAGTATAGTGTGTTTATCCATTGGAAAGGATCACTTTGTGCCCTATGAAGTCAATTTATCCTATTTTTCTACAGTAAGCCAGAATCTTTAAGTACAACCTCCCCTTGTACAACATCACTGAAGAATTTGGGGGAAAACCCTATAGAGGTAGTATCTAGAATCATTCATGTCCAGAAGTTTTCTGTATTTTGAAATAGCTCCCAGAAATGTTTATTCATCTGATGAATCTGAAACATGAAGAAATATATATATCTTATGAGTTGATGTTAGTCACTTTGATATGAGATCTTCTGTGTAAATAAAGTAAATAAAATTTTAGCCTTGACAGAAGTCTGTACACGCTGAAGACTTTAAGTCCACACTTTAAATAGAGCAAACTCATCTGACATTAATTAATCTTTGACTTTTGACAAAATATGAAATGTTAATCAATTTTTCTTCTCTTCAGAGGAAAGTTTGATTTTCCTTTTCCTTTCCACAAAGAATTGAGTGTGGTGGGTTTATGTTCTGGTGCTTTTTAGAAGCTGTTCATTGTGTATGTAATTTTTAAGAAGTTGCAAAAATGGTGTCTGAAGAATAATAAACTATACCAACTGACAAAGGATTTCCTTTTCTAAATTTTATATTTGCTGATCTACCTCTTTTGTTCTCTTTGTAGAATTTACGACCTTTATTTCTTAACTTATTATAGATCCCATTTGTCAGTTTACTGCTAAAACTGTGTATCCTAATCAGAGGTAGAGCCATCAGAATTAATAGGACACATGTGCGAACAAGATTATCCAGCTCAAAGATGGAAGAACTGGGTTCAAAGGAGTGCTACAAGACATTTATAAGCCTAGAAATGCAAAAAACCCACAGGCTTCCAACCAGTTTCACCTGCTGCATCTTGCATATCGGGTCTCAGGAAAGGGGAGAGATCAGCCCATAGCACAGTGGTCTTTTCTTATTTCCACCCTCACTGCATTCATTCTTTGCAACACTCATGCAAAGAGAAATGCTCAGTTGTGTTAATGAATGCTAAATTATGAATTAACAATTTTCTTGTCAGTTTTATAAAAGGTATAACTTGTAGGCCACGGAAATTCAGCAATATAGAAATTCAGCAATATAGATATTGCACTCTGTAATGTAAGTTCCTTGTTCAGGACAGCAGATGTATGTGTTTATACCAGTGGTGATTTTATTCTTCAAGTGTTTTTCGATGTTTTTAATATAATTAATTTAGTCACTACCCAGTGTTTTTAGAACATAAAGATCATTTTTAACATGATGAAGCTTTTCTTCATGTTAAAACAGGGTGAATTAATTGAGCAATTATTAAAATGCCAATGTTTTTGGTAATCTATGTGTCTAGCACCAAAGAAGCCCCCACCAAAAGACGAAAAGAAAGACGAAAAAAAAGATGAAAAGAAAGAAGAAAAGAAAGAGGAGGCAGAAGCAAAGCCAGAGGAGGATCATTACTGTGATATGCTGTGCTGTAAATTCAAAAAACCTCCACTGAAAAAATACATGGAGTATATGAAGCTACCAGATACCATTGACTCATACACAGGTAAATTTAAAGTTGTGTAATAGAATGGGGTAAAGTCACATTGAAGTGACATGGTGTTACATGGCACCTGTGAGCCACCATAAGGTACATATTCCAATTTGCAACTCCCAGGGACACAGAGGTCCTGTCCTAAGCAACATTTATTCCAAACAGGGAAAAGTGTCATCAGTTTTAAAGAAGGTATGCAAAAAAAGTGTAATGCAAACTGATGAGAATTGGAACCCAGGTCTTCTGTTTCTTGATCTGGAATTTGTACCATTCATTTGGGCCAAATAATTATTTTGTCAGTCATAATATACATGAGCAAGATGCAATATCTTTTATGCAATAATTATATTTAATCATACAAGTTTCTTCAGTGTGGAAACCCAGAGGACCAGAAATATTTCTCTATCTGTTCTGGGGTGTCCTGACCCCCAGGGGAGCACTGACTTTGACCCTCATTCATGGAGAAAGTTTCCTACACTTAGAGATGGACTAGAATCCACAAAAGTGTGAAATAGATTATAGAGAGTAGTGTAGGTGTATCACTTGGTGAGAAATTTAGGTTTTGGAATTTTTAGTATGTGGTGGATGGAAGAAAGATGGCAGGCACAGGGTGTTGTCCTGAGTTTCTTCTTCATGCTTCTTCTTCCTTCTTCTTCATGGTTTTGGGTGGCATTTTGTAATTGGGCAGAGAAGTCCACATTGCGGGTTCTTTGGGATCAGTTATTGCGGTAAAAGGGAAAATAATCTAGATGTCAGTTCTTAATTGGATAGTTTAGTCTTAAAACACCTTGTAACAAGACATTGTTAGCCATTTTGTGCCTTGCTGATGAAAAGTTGCCAAACTCATGGTTGTGAGACTGTTTTACTGATAAGAAATAATAATGTTTGGACCTGAGTCCGAACATGAACTACCGTCTCAAGTGCCTTCAATCCAGACCCAGAGAAACTGACACTTCAGGTGCACTGAATATGCTCCCTTTTTTGCAAATTCCTTGTGTGACTCCTATTTCCAAGCTATATCACTTTAACAGCGTTCCAGTTGCAAAAGGGAGAATGGTAGGTTGGTTTGGGCTGAAGGGTTCCCAGAGACTGCAGCAGAATGAAGGAGTTTAAAAAAATGGCAACAGGCTCCGCGTTCACGCCTCTCTGTTCAATGTTTTTCCTTTCAGATCGCCGTTATGTGGCGTGGCTCATGCTTGTGACAATTGCCTATAACTGGAACTGCTGGTTCATTCCCCTGCGCTACGTGTTCCCATATCAAACCCCCAGTAACACCATATACTGGTTTGTCATTGACGTCATGTGTGACATCTGCTACCTGTGCGACTTGATAATTTTCCAGCCCCGAGTGCGGTTTATCAAAGGGGGAGATATAATAGTAAGTATTGGAAGTCGGACTTCCATGGGCAGTAGTTGTGTGTTAGAGTATAGAAATCCATCCAATCTGACACTTCTTTTCTATCACTGTGTCAAATCTATGTAACTTTTTTTATCCATCAAAGGGTACATATATTTTTCATCACTGACCTTCCATTCTGGACTGATGTTCCATTATCCTATGTAGGAAGAAACATATCCATTACCTGAATTGTTAAAAATTGAAAAAAAAAACCTCAAGATTTCAGATTTGAAAGTAACAGATGAGAACAGCTGAAACAGGCATACAGCTCTAAACAGATTCCTCACTGGAATCAGTGGTCATATGTACTCATGCATATACATATATCTGTTTGTATATTTGTGTGAAACTTTCACCTATTTGCCTTGTACCAGAATCACACTTGAAGACAGGGCATATTCTGCTAGGGTTGGACAGGATATCCATGTTTTATAACAGATTGTGATATGATGGTTTTATTTTTTTTCCAAAATGAGAACAAATCCCTGTAATTCTAGGATACTTCAAAAACAGTTTGTTTGAGATAATCTCTTTGGGGGAAATAAGTATGTTCAATTTTGATTCTTGCTACAATTTTTGTGTTATCTTTCTATAGAAAAATGTAAAATAAAATTTTAAACAAGTACCTGAAAGTTTGCCCTTAATCTACCAAAGGGTTAACTTTTCTTTAAAGTCTTCCCTGCTTTTGATTCTTTGACATCTTATAGAAAAAAGATACCTAATTGAGAAAAAAAGTTTTGATAACTTCAGCCTGACATTACTGTGCCCAACAGACAGAAAATTCAAAATTATATAACTTCAAATCTAATTTGGAAGTAGCTTTACTTCAGTGCTTTTATAAAATATTTATACATTGTACATACACGAAATTGCTGATACCTTTATAGACCAAGCTGTGAAAATACCATTTCAATAGGTATTAAATGCAGTGCAGTGGAATGTATTTTTCCACACCAAGACATTCAGTAACTGGATCTTGCCTAAGTCCAACAAAACTCAATTTTTATGAACAAAGTTAAAACTCTAACAAAGCTCAGCTTGTATTTCCCTTGAAGCTGTTTCTACAGTTCACAGATTTTAGTGCACAGAAACCATCTCCTGCCTGATCTCTTGCATTTAGTTTAAAGTTTAAACTGATAATAGGGAAAGTTGGAATGGAAATGTGATTAAGATCTTAATACTATTTTTAAAGTTTCCCTGATATAAATACAGAAAGTACAATAATAGATAAATTTCTTTATATACTTGTGATTATCCTTTCTTATTATATTAGCATCAGTTCCCGTGAAGAACAATTTAAAAATAAAAAAGCTAATCATTACTAATGAATGCAGTGTTGATTATTGTAATGCTAGTAATGCTAGCATGTTAATGTTGGCTTTCAAAGAGCTAATTTTGTACAGCACCATTTTTAACACTCTTTGAGTTTTTTTTTCTTGGAATCATTACAAATAAATGCATTTTTTGCCATGAAATTGAAGGGGTTTGGGTTGAACACGAGGTCATACAGATGTCTTGAGAGGGAAGTTTTGTGGAAAAAATGTAATGCACTCTTCTAGACCAACATCCAGATTGGAAAAAAATCAGGCAAACACCAATTCTCATTTTTTCGAGTGATTCTAATAAAATCTGATCTAATGTAAGCTAGACTAAAACAGTACTTCTTCTCACAAATACCTACAGATATTTCTCTATTCATACTTTTAGACCATCATTAATTTAACTGTCATCACCCCTACTGTACTGTGGAGCAGCAGAGGCTCATCCTTGACATTTTGATCTTGACTGTGCCTTTTTCTCCTTTCATTATCACTGTAGTCAGACAGAGCAGAAACAGAGAAATTCTACCGCAGTTCTCTGAAGTTTCGGGTAAGTAGAACCTGTGTTACTGATACCAATATGTAGTTCTGGCTGTTCACAGGATTTTATTTTTTTTTCATTCACTGAAAATCACTGCTGGTTTAAGAATATCACCAGAAAGCATTGGCTCAATGGCATATCAGTGCTCACAGTTGAAGACTGATATCTTCATAAACAGTCTTTAACTGTAAGAGAGAATATTTATAAATGCAATTCTAGATATTATTTTGGAATTTTAATAAATTAATAAAATAGAACTTGATTAATTTTTGAGAGGTTATCCCAGCACACACTAAAGACAATAGCATCATTTGCCAGAGATTCTTTAAAAAATTTAAAACTCCTGAAGAAAGATGATAACTATTCTGTAAACTCTTTTGAAGTACCTTATTGTACTGAACATTTCATCGCTCACAGGAGTCAAAAATTCAAACTAAGGTTTTTTATGCTTATGGCACTTTATAAAAACAAAGATGCATTTGATTTAGGAAAATTGTTAATGTTGCTCCTAAATGTTGGGGTTATTTTGTCAATAGAAGATAGGTAGTTTATTGAATTCCTGATGAAACTTACAGCTCTGTGACACTAAGCACACACCTCAGTTATTGCGCTCTCCTCTTCTATACTTTTGCACCTGCCTTGTTCAGAGTTTTTTTTTTCTCAGTGACTGTGGTATCATTACTTAAACACTTGATAATAAGCTATCCAAAATGAAGGATATACACCATACAGTCAAAGTGGATTTGTATGGGTTTATTTTAAGTTCACACTTGCTGTATGTTTACGGCTCTTGATTTCTGAAAAAACAAATGAGAGTTGAGTGTTCTCACTACATGCAAGATACAATGTGGGAATTTGTCATATGATTAAGTACTAATAAGCAGTTACTGATATTAACACACTTTTGACTAAATTTTCCCTCCTCTTAAACATATGTCTTAGAGAGGGAGAGAATAAGAGGCTGCTTCTCTCAACCAATTTTTTGGGTTGCTTTGCACACTGTTTGGGTATTAATTGCTTCTCACCTGCATGGAATAAAAGGTCAGAGCTGCAGGCTGGTTGCTGCCAACATGATTTACACCCCTCAGCGCAAGGGCACTTCTGATTCAGTGAGATGAAGCCCAGAGTTACACATCCCTCTCTTACTTCTGAGCAATAACAGCAACAAAGAAAGTTATCCCAAGATCTTTAAAAGGGAAAGATACATTTGCCACAGCTTTCCTTCTCTATCTTAGGAAAGAATAAAGATGAGTAATCACATAGTTAATGGACTGCAGGGAGATGTTGAAAACCTTAGTGGTATGGGAAGAAGCAGCATACAAATTTGATAAAAAATAAATCTGTTTAAAAAAAAACCCCAAACCAACCAACCAATCAACCAAAACAGGAAAAAAACCCCAAAAAAACAACTCAGCCAAATTTATTATCCTATGATGAATCTGTTGTTTGGAACACTCCTCTTCTGCAGGTTGCAAGCAAGAAATCTAACTCATTGTGCCCCTTCAAATTGCTTTAGGCAGCCTTGTTTTAAAAGTTTTTAAGAAGGACTTTTAAGAAGTGCTTTTAAGTGTTTTAAAGGACTTTTAAGAAGTGTTTGTGTAGTGACCTTCCCACCTGCACTCACCAGCTCCATGCAAAACATTTTAGTCTGATCAGAACTACAATTGAAAAAACAGAGTTGTATTAATAATCAAATATATGAGATACTGTTAATAATCCACATGAAACAGATTTAAATCTCAGGCAGAGGGGACTCAAAAGCAGGGCAGAGCCAAGCTGTTGGTGTTTTCAAGGAGATAATCTTACCTGCCAGCACTTAAAAATCTACATGCTTAGCATGCTGACTCTTCAAATATTATCACAGTCATGATTCAGTCTAAGCAGGTTTTTGACAGCAAATAAATTCATTATGATTACTATGAAGTTTAAATTGACCTCTCTGCTCTTCAACAGCTTGATTTGATATCAGTGTTTCCATTTGATATTTTATACTTCTTCTTTGGATTTAATCCAGCACTTCGAGCAAACAGGATGCTTAAGGTAAGATCTGTGTTAGTGATGAATGGCTAACCATGCCTAGATGTTCTTGCAATGCAACAGAAATTTTTTTATAATATTTAGGAATATGAAATTTAGAAACTGTAAAATGCCTTCAGGCTAAGGTACAACATAATTTAATAAAGAAACAAAAAATACAAGTTATAGTCTAGCCAAATTTAGCCCTTATTTTCTTATGTTTCTTATGACTTTAATTTCAAAAAAGTATTTTTTAATTAAAGCTAGGTTTTTCACATTATTTAAATTAGATTAATCTCAAATTGCCTGCTTATTTTTCAAAGATTTTTAAAAAAAAACTAATTAATGCAAATGTACCTTCCCCTTGTGTTGCTTATGTCAGGTGTTTAACAATATAGGAGGCAATTTTTAGGACAAAAACTATACACAGAATACCTGTCAAGCATAAACCCAATTTTGTTATTGACTCCAAAGACCTTCGAGTTGTGTAATGAAAGGTCTGAGAAGGGATTAGAACACTGGCCACTGTGTGGCTAAATGCATTTTTCGGCACACAATCAACATGTGGACAAAGAATTGGTTTTCATTTAAAGCTGGGGCAGAATACAAGAACTCTGACGATAAAATGAAGGTTTTCTTCACTTTGGTATTCAATAAAACTTCAAAATTCCTTAAATCAGAACCAAAATAATATGAAAGAAAGAAAAGTTAAATAGTACCTTGTATTAGGCAACCAGCTGTGTATCGAACAAAAACAAAGAAAAAAACTACATGCGATCACTAATGATCAACTGCAAATACCAAACAGGGAGAATTCGATACAGCTGCCATTGATGCCACAGAGTATGTGGCATTGATGCTCTAGTATGTGGCTTTGATACATATGATCACTTACTGGACAATTACTGAAATTTCAGGAAGTGAAAAAATGCATGTAATTCTTTGTGATCCTGTTGCCCAAGCAATTATATACGTATGAGGAAGCAGAATTTGTTCACCTGCAGTACTCTGACCAAAACAGCAAGGTTATTTCTGTATAATCACTCAACACCCAGAAAAACACTTGACTCAAATTTATCTTTGTTTTTCATCTCATATTTTTGTTAAATGTTTGTCATGGTTTAGGAATTGTGTTCTCCAATTTAGTACTCCCACTAAAACGTTTTGCCTAGTCCCTCTACCCCTTCAACTAGAGGCACAAAAGGCAATGATCACAGGTTGAGATAAGAACAATTTACTGGAAACAACAATGAGACCAGAAAATGAACATTAACAGCAACATTGCTAATGACAGAGGGTGTAAGAAAATAAGTGATTCACATGGAAAACTCCCCAATAATAAGCAATACCAGACAGCTCCCTCTGCTAGATTTTCTCAACAGGAAGGAACATCTTTCTTCCCTAGAAGAAAAAGTCCCTTTATCCCACTCCCAGCAATGACCTGAGATTGTATAGAATAACATGAGTCCTAGCCATGCCCCTCCCAGGTGCTGCAAAAATTAACCCTGCCCTGGCCAGAACCAATATTTATAGAAACTTTGATTACAGAAAAATTCATTTTCAAAACGTGTATGTGAATTGATGCCAGTACTATTATAAAAAAAATGTGTACTGAAAAACTGTGATTGGATTACTTTCATTTGTTTTCCATACAGCATAACACATTCTTTGAGTTTAATGATCGTTTGGAAGCTATTATGGAAAAAGCATACATCTACAGGTATGTGCTGATAAAACTCAAGTAGCATGCAAAGCTTGGCACAGAATGCATTTCAAATTATGAATTGTCAGTTAAGCATTGGGTGGAATATGATACATCTTTAACTGTTTAATTTAAAGGGTTTTTTTAAAATGTCTGCCTTTATGGTAATCATTAAAATAATGTATATATAAGGCCTCATTTACATATGAAATCTAGCTCAGTTCAGCTGGCCTGGTTCTGGCAAAATTTTCACCAAACTGAGGCTTCTGCCAAAATGTAATCGATCAGAAGTTTTAGAAAGTTTCTTTACTGAAAGAGCTAAAGAACACCTCCTTTAGGTTGCTAATAGTGGTTACACATCCTCAGAAGCTGTTTATTTGTACTTAATAGGAGTTATGAGCCTGAGCCTGTGTCAACATTTTTCTTCAAACATGCTCTCCCCATGAACCTGACATATAGAGAAACTTGATCCTCCACTGCACTGACTGCAGCTGGAATGAGGATCAATTCAGCACAGTTCACAAATAGTGATTATAACCATAGTCTGCTGAACTGTGTTCTCACCTTCTGCATTGACAGAAAGAATTTTGGATCCAACTCAAGTAGTCCATGGACGTAGCTATGGCAAGTTTCATAGGCCCCCTCAATTGCCAGTGATGCTGCTAAGATCCAATGACCCCATCTGCTTTGTCATCATTATTGTCAATGTCATCAGGACTGGTTTACCTTGTGTAATTCCTACACCAACAGATCCTTTTCCCTGTACCATTTTTGGGGCGTGTATTGTTCCTATCTGTTGGTGTAGAAATATGTTGGTTACCATCTCATTTCATTTCAGAGATTATTGCAGTTAAACAGAACACTTGATATTAATATGTCCAAATGAGATATTTTATGAGATTTAAAAGCAAGATAAAGTTCAAAAGGAGGTTCAAATATCTGTTCTTTCATTCTTTCATGTACCTGTGAATTAAAGCAAAACTTGAAAGTTTGAAAGTTTTTTTTTAATTTTTGAGATGCTGACCTTCACAAAACTTATTCTTATTTTTACCTCTCTTTTCACTTATGGACAATTCCATTGTGGTTTGATTTGGGTTTTTTTTTTTTTTTTTTTTTTTTTTTGTTTTTGTTTTTTTTTTTTTTTTTTTTTGGTTTGGTTTGGTTTTTTTTTTTTTTTTTTTAATTCTTTTAGTTCAAGAGAGGACTGAATTTCCACATGAAGAGGAAATTTCTTGTCAGTTTCTGAATCTCTGTCTTCTTCAGTTTCTAATTTCATTTTTTTAAAAAATGGGCCTTCATCAGCTTATGCTAACTTTTTCTAATATTGATAAGCTTTAAAATTAATTGTTTTAAAACTAATTATTTTCTATGTTATATCCTTTGCTTTTTGGAATCATAATTCAATATGTTTTCTGTATCTCCTATAATACTTGCAGTGAGTAGTGAGAGATACAGTATATATTATATAGATAATATACACAATTCTGAATCAAGTAATTAGTATGTAACAATACTGTTGTATGCATATGGATTTCAAAGAAATGGGAACAAATTTAAAATTCATTTTCATCTAAATAAAGTTTTTCAAGGGACAGAGTTTCACATTTTCTTTATTAAGAAAATATCGAATGGAAGATGTAGGACAAGTTGTAAAGGGGATGTATATATGCTCAAGCTAGACCAGCTTTGAAGGATATGATGTTTATTTACATGTCAAAAACAGGAAAGGGGCTCATTTTGAAAGGCTAAGACACACAGATTATCTCACTGGTCCTGTAAAATGTATGCAGTAGCAGAGCCAGCTACTCTGCCCTGTCAGAGAGTTTTTTTAGCATGATATTGGTTAAGAACCACAACTGTGTTGCTGCGTTTGTCTGCTTCCTGGCCAAAGGCCCACTCAGATTTGCAGTATTAAATCACTTGCAGAATGTAAACTGCAGAATCTAAATGTTTCAAAGTGAATCCATTTTCTAATTCATACTTCAAAAAACACTGACTCCTGGTTTTCTCATTGACAAATGGAGAACAGAGGTAGATATCCAGAAGAGTACAAGCAGGAGTTAAAAAAATCTTTTAAACCCCAATCTTTTTGTGCAAACTGCTGCATTTTATTTTAATGTGGCAATCTTGCTTTGGTCTGAAATTGGTATAACCAGACTCTGAGGAATAAGGCCCCAATTAACAAGAGAATATCAAATTAAGCTTCTACAGCTAGGAGGATTCTCTTCTCAAACTAATTAGTTTGTGTTTGTAGATATAGAGCTAGCATAAGTTCCTTACATCTTCTCATTGTGATATATTCAACATATGTCTGGAGAAATATAACACAGCAAAGGTTTCTGGAATCTTCACCCAGACCTCAGGAGTCCACTTTTGTGGATTCAAACTTGAACAGAAGAACTAGCATGGACAACACTGCAACATAAGAAGATCACAACAGCTCTCTGCTGTTCTCTGTAGCTTGCAATCCTAAACAGAGTTGTCCTGGAAATACACCAACTTTTAAACAGAGAAATAGCTTTAATTTGTGAGCATCATAAAGAAGAATACACTCAGGTATATTATCTAACCGCATGGAAAGGCCAAGGAAGGCAAAAAAGGCACCTGAACAAGCAGCAAAGGAGTGCTTAATTAAGTAACCACAGAGATATTAGCTCCCATTACCTTTGTTTATAGACCCAACTTAGTTAGATCTTATTAAATTGTTATAAAACCAACTACTCAGTTATTCTGTACTGCATACTGCATTGAATTCTAGCTGTAGCAGATAACCTCATTAATTACAGCCTGTGCTTAGGCAAGTCCTGCACTTTTCCTGCTTATTTATCCCCTGCTTGTATGATTATTTCAATAGAGATCTAAATCCAGGACACATTTCTTTTGATCCCCATGGTCTGAACAAAGGTTATACAATGAGATCATTACTGTATTAAACAGAAAGCTGCTTGATGCTTAAGTAGTTCATCATTGGTATTCTTCAAAGCACCGGCCACAAGCATAAGAACTAGGATTAGGAATGATATAACTCCTGCGGTAGCAAGTAAATCTTACTGTTTAGAGGAACTACTGCAGGTTTTATACTACAGGTCTTGTAATGCAGTTCATTTTTGACCTCAGACATTTCTTGGCTTTGGTTCACAAGTTTAGAGCCTATCTTGGATAGAGTTTGGGAAACATTATTTTTTACCCTGTACCCTCATTAATATAGCTTCAAATTTCTGGAAATATTCATAGCCATTTGAAGTGGACTATAAACTCCTCAGGGAACCATAATTTAAAAATTACCCCATGTCAAATATTCTAGGGACGATATTTATTTGACCTTGGACAGATGTGAGAGATGGGTAACTGCCAGCTATTTTTCTCATAGACTCAGTACAGGTGGGGAACCACTTAGCGTATGCTTAACATTAACATTGTTAATCCAAAAATGTAATGGGCTCTATATTAAAAAGAAAAGAAAAAATTTAAGTTGCTTTACAGGAATCCGTTGACTTTTATAGGGTCATTCGAACAACTGGATACTTGCTGTTTATCTTGCACATTAATGCATGCCTGTATTATTGGGCTTCAGACTATGAAGGAATTGGCAGCACTAGATGGGTGTATGATGGCGAAGGAAACATGTAAGTCCTTTTCTTTTGCAAGAGATTTTTTTTCTTTTATTTTGCTCATTCCTGCCTCTCCATCCTTCTCCCATGACACTGCTTACTTTTTAACTGCTTGGATAGCAAACTTTTAGTATCATGACTGCTGATAAGCAGCTTTCAATGCTAACACACATTTGGAGGGCAGGTGCAGTGAATAATCAGTTCACCACTTTCAGATTTTATAGGTTTATGAGTTGATGCTAAGTACCGACTTAATTAAACATTTAGAAAGCAACAAGGGTCATAAATTAAACTTGCTTATTGCATATGCACAAGTTCCCACATATGGGAACTGTTAGAAGGATTGTATAGCAATCCCTCAAAACAAACACAGGGATAGTTTGGGAGTTTTTTTGCTGCCACACAGCATTGTGTCATTAAAGTGCAACATTTTAGTCCCTCTACACAATGGTGATTGGTCTGAAGAAATTCCACCAGCTCTCTCAGGTCTTTTGAGAAAGTCATGCTTAAACATAGTGCAGAGTGTCTTCAGAGGAAACAACGATTTTGGCACAATTATCCATAAACTCTTTGTGACAGCACTGGTTGGGTGCAAAGTAAAGACCATTTATTAAGATAAAAGAGAGGAAGTAAGAGAAAAAAGCAAAGTTATAATACATTCTGTGTGTAGTTTTGTAAAGATATATCTAGTAGGTTCAATTGTATGAACATTCATTTCTTTCAAAGGTTATAATATAGTTAAAGCCACAGAAGCTCAACTTGTTCTTTGATCACATTCCTTGCAAAACCACATATAGTATCCTACTGCTGTCATGAATTTCCTTCTAAACAACTTTTCACCCTTCTCTTGGACATGTGCTCCTCATGTTTGTAGTTTTGTTAGACTTCACAAGTTTGGTGTCAAGTCACTAGCTTGAAGAGCAAACCACACTTTCTGTAAACCAGAACAGATTTTTTATACGTAGAGTTATCTCTTGAAAAAAAAAAATGACATATCTGAAGTTTCCACACACCATTAAAATACACAGCTTGAGTACTGCAGTCAGACATGTGCAAGCAGGGTCATGGAGCTTAATGGAACCACTTAGGAAAGTGAAGCTATAGATGGGTGTTTATTTGCAAGATTGAGGTTTCTAGAAATCTGACAAGAAAAATGCAGAAGCAATTTCCATTGTAGCTATTTTTTTAATGTGTTTCTTAGGAATACTTGCCTCATACCCAAAAAGTAAGGTACATAAGAATAAGAAACCTGTAAACTCTGAAAGTAGAGAGTTTACTCAGTCTTCAAGTTTTTAATGTTTCTTCAGAACAGTCTAGAGTACAGGCAAGAAAGAATTACCTGTTTTTCACAGACAAAAATATTTCACATTTTTCTCAGAAAAGCAATTGGTTTATTTACTGGCTTTCCCACAGACGAGGCCTTGTGCATTCACAGTGGCCAGGTTTTTCAATATTTTGTGCTACTTTTTCCATGAGAAAATGTAAAAAAAGTTCTCAAATGAAGTCACACTGCAATCACATGGAATTTAGAGCAGGTTTGTTTTATACACGATGATAATAAAATGATAATTCAAGTTCTGCATTAAACTGAGATTCTTAAATAAAATGCATGTTTGGATATCCAAATAGCCAAATACAGGAAAAACACTGATCTGTTGGAATGAGTCCAGATGAAGCCACTAAATTAATCACAGGCCTGGAACACCTGTTCTGTGAAGACAGGCTGGGGAAGTTGGGACTGTTCAGCCTGGAGGAGAGAAGGCATGGGGAGAATTTATAGCACCTTCCAGTACCTAAAGGGGGGTCTACAAAAAGGCAGCACAGGGAACTGTTACAAGGGCATGCAGAGAGAGAACAAGGGGGAATGGCTTTAAACTGAAAAAGGACACATTTAAATTAGATATTAGGAAGAAATTCCTTACTACAAGGGGGTTAAGGCTCTGGAACATGTTGCCCAGAGAGGTTGTGGACTCCCAATCCATGAAGGTGTTCAAGGCCAGGCTGGATGGCACTCTGAGCAACCTGATCTAGTGGAAGGTGTCCCTCCCTATGGTAGGAGGGCTGGAACTGAATAATCTTTAAGGTCCCTTCCGACCCAAGCCATTCAATGATTCTATGATATATCCATCTAAACCTCATTAAGCCACTAATCCACTTCATCTTGACAATTGTTTGGTGAGAATTTGACTTTATTCTTTTGCTTGATTCTAACTCACACTGGAATTTATAGTGCCATGAACATGGAACTCCTAAAAGTATTCTAGAAGGAGCTGCATTTCATAAAGTATAGCTTTGTATTCCACTAACAGCAAATACTGACTGTGCAGAATAGTCATTGCCTTAGAGAATTAGGCATGACATAAAATCTAATCACCAAATGTTTGAGGATTTTTTTTCACACACAGAGGCATCGTGTGAATATTTGTTACAATTGGAGATGTAAGTGTATTTAACTTATCAGACAAGATACTTCTAGGTATATTCATTTATTAGGAAAGCAGATATAAGAACAATTTGTCAGGAAAAGTGACTAGTACTGCAGCATATATTATGGCATAGCAGTGGACTTATCATTTTTCTTTCACAGAACATTCAGGGTTGACAATATTTGAAGAAAATATGCCATTAGTCTCACAAAGAATGGGAACATATTCAGAAAGAATATTAGGGATACATAGCTACTTAGCTAATTTTGAAAAATGACAGTAAGCAGTTTGACAAGTAAACCAAAATTCTAGCTGTCTCAGATTACATTGATCCACAGAAAATGATCTGGCACTGATTTAGTGGCCCTAATGCTTTATGTGGAATCCCTGCTTTGTCCATAAAATATTGTTAGTTATGGCCAAAACCAGTTCTTAAAAATGTGAACACTCCTAGGATTATTTTTTTTCCTTTTCCAGGCTAAAAAGAATTAACAGACAGCAGTTCCCATTATTAGTCTGATTACATACATGTTCCTGAACAGGCATACTAGCTAGTGAACTAAATCTATAACTAACAGCTATACACAACACTCAAACCACAACCAAAGTTATCAATGTAGCTCTTCTGAAAATTTCTGCAAGCCCTGTTCTTTTCTGGTTCTTGTCCAGGCTGTAAAGTGTTAGTGTCAGTCGAAGATTTGAGCTCTTTTGCACAGCTGCCTTCAGTCAAAGCCTTGGACTAGATATGTAAAAGGCAGTCAACTTTACCTCCCTGCAACACACCCAAATTAGCCACACAGTGTGTTTCCAGCACTGAAAGTGCATGGCTTGAGTTAGGCAAGACCTCAGTCTCTCCTAAAGCAGAAGCACAGAATCACTAATGCAACACCAGTGTAGAGCCTATGCAAGGACACTGGCAGATATTGAAAAGGTCTCTTAAATGGACAATTTCAACTCTTTGTGTCTATTTACAATCTAATTTAACTACCTAAGTAAAAGATCAATCTCCCTAATTCCTGAGGAAAATGGACAAATCTTTTTTCAGGGATTCAACATAATGTCATTGTTCTGAATTGTTCCAAGGAAGTATTTCTCTTTCACCACTATTCACAGAGAAACTAAAACTAGGGAGCTGAAATTCTCATGCAAAGCCTCCAGGTCAGCAGCAAATTTAGGTGGAACAAATAATTTCACTTTGCTCATGATGTACTTCTGCTGTTTGCAAGTCATCCACAAGAAAACTGCAAAATTCTTTGGCAAATTTAAGACATCTATTTGCGTCCCAATTATGTCTCTCTGTAGAGTGCTGCCTTCCTGTTCTGGGCACAGACTTAGAGGATACCTGTGAGTCCCAGAAAATGGTCACTGTACATGTCTAGAACAAATCCACTCCTTTGGTATGCGTTGCCCAATGTACAGTGAGACTGGCAAATCTTGAAATGTGTCTCGTGGGTTTCAGCTGTGCATTGCTCTTGCAATAGGTCTGATGTGTCACAATCCCAGTGCTTGCTGTGCAAAGACAGTTTTGTGCCTCCAGGCAAGCTGTGAATGCACAGCCCAGCTCATATGTCAGACTTTCAGACCTGCTACCCACAGCCATACTTTTTTAAGTAAAACCTTTGTAGTTTGCTTGGCTGCATCTGAGATCATCAGACCCAGAGGCACCTGATGAACACATCTCTCTAGAAGACATACCAAGAAGGAAGTCATTAGTTTATAAAGGCTGCTGCTTTACTCTGCTTAAACCCATCCTGGCTGTAAACTGAGAGGAGTCAGATGTGATAGTCCTGAAACAATGCCTCCCTGGGCTAAAATGAATATGTGAATACCACCTTAAAAGCTGAGAGGCAAATCACAACGACTTGATTTATACCTGCACTAACCAAAACCATGAAAGAAGTTTAGTGCATTCTGAAATGCACTAAATGGACTTTTCTGACAAAGATATTTCTGTTGACATAATATTACAAGGCATCTTATTTGCAGTGTTTCTGAATGTTTTCATACCTAGGATTTTTTCAAGCAAAAATCTAGTACTTTGATTGCCTGAAGGATAAACATACTCTCTATGATGTGCAGAGGAAAAAATCCCTTTCTTGTCCCATGACTGTTGTTTACTTCAACAGTAATTTTATAGCAAGCTGGTAAGCTGTATAGTGAACAGTGATCGTTTCCAGACACATGCTGGTAGGAAGCAGAGCTGCTAATACTGTTGAAATAAGAGTTGTTTTTTCTGGCTTTCCTCAAACAAAATTTACAATCTCATTTCCCCCCTTCTTAGGGAAGAAAAAAGCTGCTCTGTATTTCAACTGTGTAACTTCCATTTCAGATTAAAATAAAAACAAAAATGCATAAATGGAGAAAACCTGTTCCAAAGAGATAGTGAATATCATGTACCTTGCCAATAGAAAGTTTCTTTTGAAGTAAAATCACAGAAGAATACAGTATATTAACTAAATCTTAAGAAAGGGTAGAAAGATATAAAAAACCCCTCACATTTTGGACATACAACACTGCAAAAGGAATGTGACCCCTAAATTCTTCTGAGGAGCTGCTTTCGTTCTTTGTAGATATTCCCAGAATAAAGATTATATTGTCTATCATGGTCGAGTTTGCAAACTTGGCACACAGAGCCATTGAGGGTGAGTGATTTGCTTAATTACTTTTTTTTCCTAAAGTACCGCAGACGTATTGTTAATTTCTTTACTTTTATATTACCTAATTATACATACTTCAAGCACCAGAACATTCTCAGTTATGGCAAATCTATATATTAATATGCTTTACCTAATTCCCCTCAGCTAAACTAGAAGCATCATTTTATGCTTAAATCTGTAATTCTTCCAAACCAGACCTCAGTCTTTTTCTTATTATTTGTTTATATTACAGAAGTCTAAGAAAAAGCTGCCACTTATACATACTTTGCTGGAAATGTGCATATGTGATATTTTTCTATCACAAGTGAAAATATTATTGTGGCATAATCCAGCAGTTCATTTTGCATCCCTAACAAGGAAAAATGTTAAAATGGAAAATATGCAATGAAATTTTTTTGAGGACTCTGAATGAAAATGGCCAGTTCTGACTGTTAACATCTAAAACTAGAAAACTATGGTAAAAGTGATCACTGTTACTGCATTTTCATAGTCTGTAACCAAGAAAAAAAGGAATTCTGTAATGAAAAGCAGATATCAATTTCTTGGTAAAGCCTTACATTTTGGGTGAAAAACTTGAAAACAGTTTCAAGTGATTTAAGAAAAAACCTCATTGAAATTAGTTGTTATTGTGAGTTTATTTTCTCATATTTGCACAAAACCGACCTTGCAGCTGTATTATTACATGAACTTCTTATTATAGCAGAGTTCATATCTTAAAAAGAGAGGGGTCTGAAACAGACCTAATGTCTGCAAGCAGGACTAATGTCCTCAGGTTCAGAGCAGGCATGAGAAGATGCACGTGAAACTTTCTATTTCAAAACAAACTTATCTCCAAAAGTATTTCTTCTGTGTCTTAGTGCTGGGGGGGGGG